GTAGGCCTACTTCCTCCAACTTCCATTTATTAATTTTGAGCAGACGACAAAATGCTTCCAAGGCTGGTTTAGAAATAATTCTTTTTTCAATCTTGTAGTTCCCAGTTAGGTTACTTTTTACCCCAATTTCAGCTAAAAGTATGTTGTGGTCACTTAGAACGTTTATATCTGATCTCACTCTGATTATATTTAAATTAGGCTCTGAGATAACATAGTCAAGTTGAGTGCATGTTGTCTCAGTAACCCTGGTCGGGCCTTCAAACATCACTTGTAGTTCGTAAGTATTTATTAAATCTAACAGGCAACTCTTGTTTAAAGATTGTACCAAATTATCAATGTTTAGATCCCCGCATAATAGCAATGGTAAGTTATATTTGCTTCTTATTAGATTCAGTGCTTCATCCAGTATATCCAGAAACTCAATAAACCTCTCTTCAAAAGGTGGGCGGTATACATTTAAAACAATGAACTTGAAATCGCTGAAAGAGACCAGCAAACAACAGCCTTCAAATACCCCCTCAACACTTAGAGAATTAACTTGTTTAATTTCACTTACTTTTATTGCAGAGTTGTTTTTAATTAGAATAGAGGAGCCTCCTCCAACAGTATGGGATCTGTAATATTCTGTTTTTGTATCATAGCCATTTATTTTAAATGTGGATTTCTTATCTTCAGTTAGCCATGTTTCTACTAAGCAGACTAGGTCGGGATTATGTTCATCCAATGTTACTTCAAAAGCATCAATTTTATTACATATAGATCTTATATTTACAAATAGTAATTTTAATTTTTTGGTAACTGAATCCTGTTTAAGCTTGGGCTTCATCAAAACTTTGGGCCCACATGGTCTCATATTTAGTTTTTTTGAGGGAGGCTTACTAAGGGTGCAGGCCTACCTTGGTTCCACCTAGATGATTTAAATGGGCTCACCAGCACACCTTCAGGCCACATCTCAGCATTCATAACATTTTCAAAAAACTCACTCGGTATACCCACTTTAAAGGACTTGTATGTTTGGTACTTTGTATTTAAGTTTTCACAGTGAACCTCATTAGGCCTACCCTTGCAAAGTTCACTCACAAACTCACGAAGGTCAGTAGTTTCCACATTTGTGCCGATCCTTGATATAAATATCCAAGAACGTCTTGGTGCAGCAGTCAATTTACTTGTGGGTTGTGATTTGCCAATAATTAGCGTAGGTCTAGGTTTTTGATTGTTGGACAGATTTTGTTGGATTTTGGATTTAGGATTCTGAAATTGAGTCCTATTCTTTTTCTTATTTTGATAAATTTTCCAATCATCCTTGTGTGATTCCTTAGTTTGGTTAAGTTCAGATTCTTCATTGATTGAAGTGATGTCCTCCACGTGTGGTTCTATTTCCATTTTCTTCGGCTTCTTTAGGGCTTCCCGGTAAGAGTTTATACATTTACGTGCAGGTTCTATTTCAATTTGGCTAGCATTATTATCTTCTGGTGTTACTTTAACTTCGCTTTTTAGCTCATGGATTTCCATTGATACGGCTGTTAAACGATCAGTCACCTCTCGGTCTCTCTTCTCCACTGCCTCCATCCTATTGGCTAGTTCTTTCATAGCGGATGAATTGTTTTGTATACTATTCAGTAAAATATTTAAAATTGACGATGATTCCTCATTTTCATTTGATAGGCCAGCTTTCATGTCAAGAAGGTCCATAACCATAGGCCTACAGGTCTGACAACACCATGTAACACAGTCAGCAATTTTATTAAGGCACTCATACTGGTCTTTGGAAAGCTTTGCACATCCTAGGTCGTACCACGATTTACATGGGCCTTCACAAAAAACAGCTTCACTATCAGGAACTACATCTTTGCAATGCCCACACCTTTCTTTTTCTTCATTTCCAGAGTTATTTCTAGGTCTACTTGTCTTATTTTTCTTAAACTTACTCATTATCGTTATTCTTCCTTTTTATGCTTAAGTAGCCTAAGTCAATTCTAAAATAATTATTAGCCTTCTAGGTAAGCTTTGTCTTGGATTGGTGGCAATACAGCCTAAGTTACTATTTAAATACAAAATGGTTTTCGTTAAATCAGTTGGCTTAATTTAACACATCCTATTTTAACCTGTTTGGTCAAAATATTAAAGCATATTTTTATTAAAAATATGTAAAAATCGTTTCAATAAAATGCAGTTAGTTATGTTTTCTCACAGGAGCCAAGTTGCAAGTTAACTCATTTGCAATTTGCAATTTGATTATTGAATTGTGAACACGAATGCACTATGCAGCTTACGTAATGGCGGCAGGTGGTCGTCTTGAGTTGTATCACTGTAGTACTTACGTTGAAATCAATTAAGTACTGCTGAGATGTTAACACGGTCTTGCGTAACGTGTAACGTACAAGATTTTACCTGACCCGACAATGTACAGGGGGTTACGTAAAATATTTGTAGCTGATTTCTAGCGTTGAACGTCGTTGGCTCCATAGAGGTATATTTTTTTAAGTTGAGCACTCAATGTTATTTAAATTAAGTTTCATTAATTCACCGAGTGAGTTTTTGAAACTTTACTTCACTCGTGAGGTAAAGAAGTTGTTTACATCACGCTTGGGATAGGGAAGTTTAACATGGCGGATTCGGTAAAAGTATTTTCTAAGTTAAGCTAAATTTTGTAAAACACTGTAAACTCAATAAAAATAAATAATAAAAAGTATATAGGAGATTATATGTTTTGAACATTGTTTAAAATTGAAATAAATGACTAATCAGTAGGAGTAATTTGGCCCCAACAGTGCTACATAAACTCACTTTAGGGTTAATCTATTGGCCTGAAAACACAACTTTTTGCGTTACGTTTAGCCTTAAGGACCTTGTTTTGAAGAAGGTGATGCATTATGTAAAAGTTGGTTGGCCTAATAAGTGTCCAGATGAGAACTTGAAGCCTTACTTTTCCAAGAAAGATGCACTGACTCTACATAATAACTGTCTTCTGTGGGGAATAAGAACTGTTATTCCACCTAAATACCGAACTTACATCATGGACTACGGTACTTGCATGAATCTCACAATGGCATGGTCAATTGGTCATAATGAAGTCTGAGGCTCGGGGTCATGTGTGGTGGCCAGGTATGGGTGCTCTAATTGAACAGACTTGTCACCATTGCCGTGAATGTACGTAACTTGTTTGCAAAAAATTTACCAAGTAAAACACTAGTCAACTGGCCTAAATAAAGTGAACCTTGGAGTCAAATCCATTTAGATTTTGCTGACATACGTAAAGTATGTCAATACACTGAATACAGCTCAGCAACTTTTTTAAATGTACACCCTCATACAATAAATAAAATTGAAAGGAAAAATCTTTATTTGCCAGCCAGTAGCTCACGGACGCTAGCAACATCTTGAAAGCAACATGGAATTTAAGTTTTCTCTAACTTAAGCTCAATGGGTAGACTGTTGAAAAGTTTAATTCTGTTGTACAAGAGGTGATGTTTAAAAAATAAGTGGAGTGTTTGGGAATTTTACAGTTGATCGCGGAGTGCAATGGATAAATGCAGGAATGAGAGTCGACATGAAACTTGGAAAGGTTTAGCCTGACAAATGACAGCGTCTCAAGGATGTAGATGGAGGGAAAAATTAAAATTCCAGATGAGCTGAAAACCTCTTTGCAAGAATGGCGACGAGGGAGACAGAAAATGGTTCTTACTGCGTTCTTCTGAAGCCTAAACAAGAAAAGTGTTCTTTGATTTTCAGCACCCCAAATCGGCAGAGCATATGAAAGAAAAGGATATCAACCCGTAGTAGGCTGAAAGAAGAACATCAGGATTTAGCAGTTCTGGACAAAGTACGCATGACTAAGAGGCCCCTGCTAACCCTGCCCATAGTAGTAGTCAACATGTTGATAAAAGTTCATCTGGTGCAACCCAAGAAATATCACTGATTCTGTTGGCTGAACCAACGGTTGATTCAAGAGAAGTGATAAAGAAGAGTCCTTATCGGTTTGAGATAAGGAAATTTAGAAACTGGGTTTTTGATGTATTTCTTTTTAACCTTTTGACGTAAAACCATTGAATGAGCTTGTTGGCTTCAATGTAGGTTCTTTGTTCAAGTTCAGCTGAAGTAGGACTAGAGAGTGTCAGTTGGAGAGGTTAGGTATCAAAGTTCAGCTAAAATGACAATACCAATGTAGGCTACAGTTTAAACTAAAATTTTGGACCTAAAAATAGGATGGGAACCGTTTCTTAAATGGTCTATGCTCATATCGATTGAAAATATCGATTTGATTAGTAAACCTTCATTCGATTTCTTCTTTCTATAAGTTTACTTAGCCTACCCCTATATCAATTATAAAATTGAAATGTTATAACCTAAGCTTACCAACCAAACTTGCTGATAATGAAAACATCGAATGAAGGTTTAACTTAATAACCGATCGATATTTTCAATCGATATTAGCGTAGCCCTGTTAAGAAACTGAACAATAACCAAGACAATATATATGCAGATAATTCTCTGATCAGAGTACAAAAAGGCAGTTGAGTAGGCTGTTATAACCCTTTGAGTGCCATGCAATGATATATCGTTTTGCACAACACCTGAAAAATACTTCACAACGATATATCGTCGTCGGTAGTCTTACCTAAAATTAAGTTACATTGCAACGATATATCGCGGCGGCGCTAATTTCGATCATGTGAGTTTTAATGGGCATATCGGTTGACTCGGTTGTTATTTTAAAACAACGATGATTTCAATCGATTTCTCATACGATCGAGGCACGATATATCGTTTCTTGGCACATTTGGGATGAAATTTATAGCCTACTTTTACTGAATTGTATTCTTGCGCACTAGGCTAAGTTTTGTCCCTATGGAAAGCCTGGCACTTTTCGGACATACCTAGTAAAAAACTCTGGCACTTTTCGGAAAGTACCAAAATAAATTTCTGGCACCCAAAGGGTTAAAGCAATCCTAACTACCTCACTTATCTATTCCAAGACTAAGCACAATCCTGCAACTTACCTAGTTCTTGAGCTGACATCCCTGCAACCTTCTCCTCAATTGTCTGCTTTTTATCACTTAGCCCTACATTTTTTGAACAATAATTTCTGGCAGCCCTAATGACTCTCATTACATTTATATTTAAAAGCATTTTTCTTAAAACCTTCACAATTGTTTACAGGTCACTCTGTTGACATTTCTATTTCAGTGCGTCAATCAATCGTCGAATCGTCAATTGAGTTGAGTTGAGACTTGAATTCTTGGTTCTTGAATAATAAAAATAAAAATAATGACAACACAACATCAACAGCTGGTAGCAGATCAGCACATCTGCAGACAACACAACAAGCCGCTATCCGCTATCTCATTGGAGGAAACCTAAAAATTATTACCAACACAAATTTCACGGCACTGTAAAAAGTTTGTATTCTCAATGATTATCAATCAGCAATCAGCTCAGCTAACACTTACAGCTAATCTATGTGTACGAAATTTCAAACAAGAACTACACCTTTTCCACTTTTATTTCAGAAAGGGTCAATTGTATTTCAGAATAGTCATTTGTATTTCAGAAATGGCAATTTGTATTTCAGATGTAAGATTTTAATTTTAGAAAGCGTCAATTGTATTTCAGAATAGTAATTTTAATTTCAGAAATCATCACTTTTATTTCAGAAATTATAATTTATATTCCATAAATGATTATTTGTATTTCAGAAGATATCAATTGTATTTCAGAAATAATTTGTGTTAACAACTTTGTCATCAGCTTTAGGATTTAGCTATGAATTCGTTACGAGAAAAAAACCTTCAGTTAGTATAATTTTGGTATCATAGGATGTGATTCAACTCGGAAAAAATATCTCATCAGGCCCTGGTCAAATCAGGAAAAAATCTTGATAAACGGCTGAATTTTCTAGGCTAACCTAATTAACCTAAACTTAACCGTGGGCTTCTTATAATTAACTTTTAATCAGATCCGCTACGACTGTGCAAAATTGTCTAATCGATCATTTCTGAAATACAATTGATTTTGTCTGAAGTACATTTGACTAACCCTGAAGTATATGTGACAATCTCTGAAATACATATGACTACTTCTGAAATTCAATTGATGTGCTCTGAAATTAAAGTTACTTGTCTGGAATGCAAATGATACTTTCTGAAATAAAAATGATAATTCTGAAATACAATTGATGCTTTCTGAAATTGACTTGACACTTTCTGAAATAAAATTAGAAAAGGTGTAGAAACGTTACACAATCTAAAATATGGATAAACAGAGAAATTGAAGACAGATATACCTCAGACAATAGCAACGGACAGTGCACTCACTCATAGCACCAATAGAACGGATATGGGCCAATTTAATTTATTTACTTTCTCCCTCCCCCACCGCATAGCTGGATTTATTTCTGTCGTTTAGGTTTGGCCATGTTTGATTGACTTGAAATATTTATTTTAAAAGTTAACTGACAGATCAGATAAATATGCATAATACATGCCTTACGTATACGTCAACTTTTTTCATAAAACTATAATAAAATACAATATAAATTTTGTCAAAGTAGGCCTATGTGCCCCCTGCCCCAGGATTGTCACGTACGCACATAGTTCCATAGAAATTGTAGTTGTGGTTTGGTTTAGTGCACGTACGGACGTTGCCTACGTGATATTTTCTAACTGACTTTTTTACCTCTTTCCTTTTATTTCTAATCTCAAATAGCTAAATAATTAAAATACATATTCTGTATTATATTAAAATAGGATTTAATTTTATAATTGGTCGACTGATTTTAAAAAAAAAATATCGTTTTCATGTCATTTCTATAATATTATAAAAATACCCCCACCGCAGCAAACCTGCAAACTAAGCGAATTTCAACTTACATTTTTACTAAAATGCTACCTGTTTGCCCGTTCTAACTATTCAGTTGAAACTATTCAGAACAGGAGTTGGTTTGCATTTAGTGTGCATTTTTCCAGATATGCTGCCAAAACTACTACTGTATAGGAATACATATAAACCTTCGCAAATACAATATCTGACAGTTTCAAAGCCAAAACGAATGCTTCGCAATTAAATGTCACCCGATAGTGTTAGTCCATATATTATATCTGATGATAAAAGGACTTGCTTTATATATATACTCTAGCTGTAACCCGCGGGCTTTGCCCCGTTTAACTTCTTAATTTTCAAGATTATCTCGTTCGCATGGCTCAATCACGTCCTGGTTGAAGTTTGTTCGCTACGCTCACTCACCTTTAGCACAGAAAACGTACTACTATAACCGGTTATAGTAGTACGTTTTCTGTGCCTTTAGGTTGGAGCTCGTTCGCTGCGCTCACTTGCCTTCAGGTTAGCTCGTTCGCTACGCTAACTCGCCTCCAGGTTGAAGTTCGTTCGCTACGCTCGCTCACCTTTTGGTTGCAAATTAGTTGCTGTCATAAATGTAAAAGAAATAATAGTGCTGCACCTTGTTGGTAATCCTTGTAACTTTAATGCTATTGAACATCATAGAACATAACCAACTTGTTTAATTGAAACAGCTGTTCAGATTCAATAATTCCATTTCTCATAAGGTTAACATGGGAAACTCCAGAGCCACTGGTGCGGAGCCCGAAAGGATTTTTGAAATAAGAATATGTCTATATGTTAATCGGGAATGTGCTATCATCATGCCAAATTTCAGCCCAATCCGACCAGTATTTTTTGCGTTCACTTGTCACAAACATACATCCAAACTTTCTCATTTATAATATGAGTAGGATAAGGCATAGCCCTAAGGTAGGCCTGTAATTGAAAGTTACTTTTCACACTGAAAATACCACCTCAACCTCACTACTGCACACTTTATTCGGGTTGAAATTTTCATTAACAAATGTGATCTTGTCTTTTCCACGAAACACTGAGAAATAAAGACATTAATGCGTTACCAACAGACATACACACACAAATACAGAATTGAATTAAGGGATTTGCTACGCTTTAACCAAAGCAAAGTGGTCTACAAACAAAATAATTATTTGAAAGTTTTGATATTGTCATCAAATTTTATGATAATGGATTTTTCAAACTGTAAAATTGGTGTAAATCCTTTGGCAAATATATAAATAAGTAAATAAATACACAGTCTACAAAACATTAATACGTTAACAACGCCAAGCTTTAAAAAATCATGATGGCTTGCTAAAAAAATCTTTCACTAATGTTTGATCATTTTCATAGGAAAAACTAACATTTTGGAGTCCAGACAGAAAACGCAAAAATTATACAGTAAGACATCAATTAAATTTAATAAGAAATAAGGCGCAGCACTAACGATAACTATAGTTGTAAATAGTGATGTGTTTGTACGTAAAAATGATTCTTACTGCTACCACCGGTTCTAAGGAAAAGTAGCAGTACCATAAACCAACGTTTACATTTATGAAAAGAACTATAGTACTTAAGAACAATTCAAACTGTCCATGTAATCAACCTGTATTATTTGTGTTAATCCGTTGGCAAATCTATCTTCTATCTAATATATAAAATTCTCGTGTCACAGTGTTTGTCTGCAAACTCCTCCGGAACTACTTCACCGATCGTTATGAAATTTGGTGTGTAAATTCTGTAGGTATGCGAATCGGACGTAAACTATTTCCCGTTTCGAAATTCTTAAAAGGGCTCCGCCCCAGTGGCTCTGGAGTTTCCCATGTTAACCTTATGAGAAATGGAATTAATGAATCTTAACAGCTGTTTCAATTAAACAAGTTGGTTCTGTTCTATGATGTTCAATAGCATTAAAGTTACAAGGATTACCAACAGGGTGCAGCACTATTATTTCTTTTACATTTATGACAACAGCTAATTTGCAACCAAAAGGTGAGTGAGCGTAGCGAACGAGCTCCAACCCAAAGGTGAGTGAGCGTAGCGAACGAACTTCAACCTGGAGGCGAGTTAGCGTAGCGAACGAGCTAACCTGAAGGCAAGTGAGCGCAGCGAACGAGCTCCAACCTAAAGGTGAGTGAGCGTAGCGAACGAGCTCCAACCCAAAGGTGAGTGAGCGTAGCGAACGAACTTCAACCAGGACGTGATTGAGCGATGCGAACGAGATCATCTTGAAAATTAAACGTAACGGTACTTTCTTTCCATCGGTCTGTCTTAGGGGAAACCTATATAACTTAGGCGATACGAAGTTCGCCGGGTCAGCTAGTCTATCTATATATATATATAATACGCTAAGCCGATTTTTGTAAACAGAACTCCTCCCACATTTTTGGACCGATGTTGATGATTAAAATGTCAAAACAATGGCCCTGATCTGTAGTTTTGCAAAGTGTTTTTCCTTTTTACTTTCTCCCCCTATACCATAGTAGAGTGAAAATTTAAAAACGTACGTTTTCATGTCCCTGGCCTTTTACTTCGTAGATACTGGATTTGTAGTTTATTATTATGTGTTTTAATATTTTTTGGGACGGGGGCAACACGTTACACACATTTATTTGGTTTTAAATAGGTTCTAGGTATTTTTTTCGTATTTTTAAAGTCTCAAAATTCACGACCAAGACGTGTCCCTAGGGTACATTTTCCAACTTTCACGCTGTTTTTAGACTAATTATTCATGCCGAAATATATAAAACCATATTTTTATGTCATCAATGGTTATTAAACTTACAAAAAAGGAGCATATTATAATTTTATTGTCATTGCAAACTGACTACCATGACAAAATAAGTCTGTCCCTCGATTTGGCGTCACGACCATTTGGGAAAAATTTTCAACTTTGGAGCCCGACAGTGGCAAGCCTGGCGTCGATGGAGTCAGTTGGTTTGAGAGACTAGTTCGGGGTGTACGTCAGGATTGTAGTGCCGGTCGTTTCGAGTTGAAAGGAGGAATTACAAGATTAATAAAGGAAAGATTGTGTTTTTTGTAATTTTGGTGTGTCCATGACCGTACGTAGTCATTCGATGAAGTAGACATGGTGTTAATTTTTGTTTATAAGATATTTCAATTGCTAGATTAACCTAGAAGTCCACTTTGTATCCTCGAACATGAGGTGCAGGGCTACCGCCAGAACAGAGCCAAATAACACGTAATTTCACGACCAAAGTTTCACGACCATCGCGGGTTTTTTCACGACCAATCCAGCCTTATGGATTATAGTGTGTTTGGTCGTGACAATAACTTTAATATAATTGTGAATTGAACAGTTTAGTTCAATTGAAACACATATTTTTATTATAACTAACAGTATAATTGAAGGATTGCCTAGAAAGATTTAAATTATCCCAGACAATTCACGACCGTACCGCTTGTCCCTGACCATCACGATTATGATTTCTATCATAAAAATTTCAAAAATTAAAATATCGTCATATTTCAATGTTTT